TATGAATAAGTATTCTCAGACCAGATCCTCCAGACCCAGGCATGCCTTCGGATTCCTGCAGCACTGGCTGAGTTGGCTACAACCTCAAGACAGACCCCTATGACAAAACGACCCAACTAAGCCACTCCTGAATTCCTAACCCACAGGAACTGAGATAATAAATATTTATTGTTGCTTTAAGCTGCTAAGCTTGGGGATAGTTTATTACACAGCAATAACCAATACACACTCCATACTTGCCCCACTGATATGTGGTGTCCCCTTTATAAATATCAGTTCTCATATATACATCAGCCCATTTCCAAACTCTGTGTTCCATTGGTTTTGTGTTTGTTCCCCAAAACCACACTGTTTTCATTAGTATGGCTTTATAGGATATCTTAATATATGATAGCATCAGCCCTTCCTCTTGGCTCTTTTTAAAAATTGACCTAAGTAATAATAGACTTTTATTCTTCCATATTAATGTTAGAAAAAGGTCTCTTTTTTTTAAGATTTGATTTATTTGTCAGAGACAGAGAGCACACACAAGCAGGGGGATCGGCAGGCAGGGGAAGCAGGCTCCCTGCTGAGCAAGGAGCTGATGCGGGACTTGATCCCAGGACCCTGGGATCATGACCAGAGCTGAAGGCAGGCGCTTAACCGACTGAGCCACCCAGGTGTCCCTAATGTTAGAAAAGGTCTTATAAGTTTCTCAAAAAAAAAAAAAAAAAAAAAAGGAAAAACTTCTGGAATTTATGGTTGAGAAAAAGATCTGGTTGAGAGAGGTGAAAGGGGTTTTGGCATAAAGATTCTGGAAAAGAAAAGAGGAAAGAAGCCCATGTATCTGGTTCTGCCTCAGACCTCATCTCACCCACCCAGGTTCATTTATTCAGCAGACACTGAGCAGCCACTGTATACTAGGCACTCCCTGGGTGAGAAGAGACAGATCATAAGCAAACATACAACAAAATGAGAAAATGTGAGGACCTCAGTGCTGCGAAGAATGAGCTGCTAACGTGTAAAGAAGAAGGTAGAGGATGATGTTATAGTCAGGGAGCTTTAGGAGACGGACCAGCAGCCTCTGAGGGGTACTGTTTTGAGTTAGCTGAATGGCATGAAAGGGCCAGGCACACAGCATCGAAGACCATTCCAGGCAGGGGGAACAGCAAAGGGTTGGGTGGGCACAAGGAACAGGCCGTGGGTGGGGCTGAAGCCCAGCAAGCAGGGGAGAGTGGTAGAGATGAGATCAGAGAGGTTGGAACTTACAGAGCTCGGTGGACCTCTAAGGAGTCTGGATTTTTTCCCCCGCGGAAGGCAACAGGCAGGTTTGGACAGCTTTTAAGTGGGGGAGCGAGTGACCTTTGTGCTGTTAACCACCTTCCGCTTCTTCTCCAGCAAAAAAGGGAGAACCTGTCCCCGCTGTGCCTCATCCCCACGGTGACATCTCCCCGGGAGGAGCAGCAGCTCCTGGCCAGCACCTCCAAGGTGAGGCCCCTGAGCCCTGTAGGGTGGAGGCTGTGGGCCTCTCCCTGCAGCCTGACCCCACCCTTCTCCGTGCTCTCTCCCCCCACAGCCCGTGGTGAAGCTCCTGCACAACCGCAGTAACAACAAGTACTCCTACACCAGGTGACTACCACGGGGCAGGGAGGCGCCCTGGGGTGGGGGTGGGGGGGGCTGGGCTCAGGCACAGCCCTGATGCGGGCCCCTCCGGGGTGAGGGGGCTGTGGCCGCCCAGAGGGGCAGAATGCCTGCCAGGAAGCAGATTCCGCTCTGAGTACTGTGGGCAGGTCATTGTCAGCCTGGAGGTTCAGTGTGCTCACCCGCAAACTGGGTTCCAGCGACGATTAGATGAGAGTGGCTAACATTTATTTACTAAGGGCTTTTCCGCAGCAGACGTTGCTTCCCGTGCTTTACCCATATTAACGCCCATAATCCTCACGGTTGTGTGGGGTAGTACTATCTCCATTTGACAGAGAGGGAACGGAGGCACCAAGAGGTGAAGGAACTTGCCTGGTGTCACTTGGTTGCAAGAAGTGGTGCAGTGAGGACGTTAGGTGAAGCCACGGGGGCCCCTCTGCTGTGCGGGGATTTGCTCAGCAAATGATGTTGCTTCTCTGAGGCCAGCTGAACCAGACTCCAGACGCGGGTGGGGGCGGGGGGAGGGGGACGCGCAGAGGAAGCTCCTTGCTGGGCCCCAGGGCCTGAATGCAGGGTAGGCAGGCCCCTGTGCTGCGGAACAGAGGGAAGGAAGCCAGTGTGCTAAGGCCTCCTGGCCCCCTGGTCCTCAGCACTTCAGATGACAACCTCCTTAAGAACATTGAGCTGTTTGACAAACTGGCCCTGCGCTTCCACGGGCGGCTGCTTTTCCTCAAGGATGTCCTGGGGGACGAGATCTGCTGCTGGTCCTTCTACGGGCAGGGCCGCAAAATCGCCGAGGTGTGCTGCACCTCCATTGTCTATGCCACGGAGAAGAAGCAGACCAAGGTCAGAAGGGGCTCAGGGCCTGGTCAGGGAGGGCTGTGGTGGTGGGCGGCCACCAGGACCCCCGCCAGAGGCGGCGCAGCTGAACGGGCAGCGAGGTGTCCTGGGAGTCAAGAGCTGCGCTTCCAAGTTCTGGGGTCTCGTGTAACCATGGGCAAGTCACCTTCCCCCTGCGGGTCTCTCTTCCTCTGGCATGAAACGAGAGTGTTGGATTAGAGTGGGATTCTTTACCTAGCCCATCTGGGTCTCCAGGCCGTCCTGAAGTGGTGTGCGGATTTGGGAGTGTGCATGCATTTTTCCGTATAGAAGGACCATAGTTGTTAGAATCTCAGAAGGGTCCGTGACCCAAAATATGTTCTTACAACCTCAGGGCCTTAGAACACACAGGTCTCTTAGAACATGCTGAGTTTGTAAGCCCTGAGTCATTAACCTGGCAGTCATCAGCAGATACTTCCTGAGCACCTCCTCTGCACCAAGCACAGCGCCAGGCTTGGAATCCAGGTGAATGAAAGGCCTAGTAAAGTACCAGCCCTCTGTCGTGTCATCTGTTCCCTTCTGACTTTGATATGAAGGAAGTGCCTCAGATACGCGAGGGTCTGAGCACCCAGTGCTAGTTCATACCTCTCCACCTTTGCACATGCTAGTCCCTCTTCTTGGACTTTTTCCTCATCCCCATCTGCCTAATGAACTTGTGCTCAATCTTTAAGACAGAAGCCAAGCACAGCTTTCCTTGGGGCACCTTCGCTCATGAGCTTTCAACCTCTCACAACCCCAAAGTTGGTCATACTTCCTTCCTAGTCTGCAGCGGTCAGGAGGGTGTCACATCAGCAGCAAGGGGTTAGCTCCTTGAGGGTAGGGTTCTAGCTTTTCTTCCAGTCTCTCTAGCACTAGACAGGCGCTTATCATGCAGTGGAAGCTAGGAAGCATTTATCGAATGCATGCAGGAATGAATGACCCAGCTTCCAAGAAGTTTCCATTGTAATTGGGAAGACAGGAAGATAAACCAGTAATGAGAATGCAGCTTGTTAAGTTATATTAGCTCTGTCCCTCCGGGCCACACGACACGACACCTCCTCTGTCCCTCTCCAGCACCTCCTCGATTCACCCCTTTCTACTCTCCCTCCACTGTGTCTCCCTCCTGCTGATCTTCAAATACTGTACTAAGTGCACTCCTGCCCCGAGGCTCTTAGCCTTGCTGTGGCCTGTTCCCCAGGCTGCCCTTTCTCTACTTACCCACCTGGCTCCTTCCCTCCCTCCTCTGACTGCTGATTGAATGTCACCCTTTCAACGAGGCCTTCTCTGAACGCCCTCTCTAAAGTTGTAACATTTGTGGCCATGACCCTCCCCACCCCCTTTTTCTGCTGTATTTTTTCCTGTAACGTCACTATCTGAGAGTTTATATTTGATTACACGTATGTCTGGGTCCTCCCCCTTGAACGAAAACTTCCTGCAGGCAGGAACTTTGTTTAGTTCACTGCTATATTCCCAGTGCCTAGAACACCTGGGACGGGGCCGTCACTCAGTATTTGTCAAATGCAAGAACATACCAAGAGACTTGGCAGCAAAGGAGAGGAAACAAGTAACTCTGCCTGACTTCGGAGTTGGACCTTGAGGGATAAGTATGACTTTGCCGAGTAAAGAATTTGCCAGGGGGCTGGACAGTCCAGGCCAAAGAACCTGTGACTGCAAAGGCTAGGGGGTGCGCCCGTGCAGGAGCAGCTGGGCCAGGGGGCTGTCTGTGTAACTGCATCAGAGGGTAGGAGCAGGGGCTTGCTGGCCTTTTGCAGGTGGAATTCCCAGAGGCCCGGATCTTTGAGGAGACCTTGAACATCCTGATCTACGAGACTCCCCGGGGCCCAGACCCAGCCCTCCTGGAGGCCACAGGGGGTGCAGCCGGAGGTGGTGGGGCAGGCCGAGGGGAGGATGAGGAGAACCGAGAGCACCGTGTCCGCAGGATCCATGTCCGGCGCCACATCACCCACGACGAGCGTCCTCACGGCCAACAGATTGTCTTCAAGGACTGACCTTTGACCTTTCTGTGTTCCTCCTGCCACTGGAACGCAGTTCCTCTCTCTTTCCCTCCCCTTCCCAGACCTTTGCCCCGGCTTTGCTGGCCAAGTCGTGGGTCTTCCTTCTGTCCCTTCGTCGCATGGTACAGTTCACTGTGGCCCTTTTCCATTCATTCCCACCTCACTGCTAACAACACGGTATGTTCCAGCCCCTTCCATCAGTCAGAACCCTTCAGAGGGCCTGTTCCCTCATCCCATCCTTGTCTTGCTATCTTCCTCACCAGCTGGTTTAGAATGATTTAGAATTCCCCTTTTCTCTTTCTCTCTCTCTTTTTTTTTTTTAGCACATCGTACATGCCAAAGTGTCAAGCCAGTCCTTACGGACACCCACCATGTTCTGAGCCGCCTCCCCACCATTGTGCAGGGCAGTTTCCCCCCCACCTCCTTCCCCCACCAGTCCCCCCCACCCCTTTGACTTTGTACGAGGCTGGCCTGGGCTTGCACCAGCTCAGCCGTCTTCTCAATCTATTACATATTATTTATTTTAATTTTCTATTAAATTATTGGAATAAAGTTGAGCTGAGGGTCTGGTGCTGGCTCCGGGGGAGAGGGTCAAGGAGATGGCTTGTGTTAAGGAGGTACTTGGCTAGTTGGATGGGAGAGGACAGGAGCCCCCGCCCCAAGCCTTTTACTTGGCTGGTAGCTGGACGAAGGGGTTAGGAGAGGACTTAAAATCTGTATTTCAGTGTAGGCTGGCCAGTTCCCACCCGCAGCCCCACCCCACCCCCTGCAGCGGAGAGGAGGTCCTGGCTACCACTCAAGCCATCCCTGAGTAGTGCAGCACCTCTCCAGCCCAGGTGTCTGAAGGGAGCCCCTTCCTTCAAGGGTCTGGCGCGAAGACAAAGTCAAGGGCCTGGCGCTCGGCCCCGGCCACGTTGGGGTGCCAGAGGTCCACGATGAAGACCACCCGAGGCCCGTCTTCAGGGGAGCCTAGGGCAAATGGGGATGGAGACAAGAGAGTGGCTGACATTAACTCCTTACCTGCCAGAATACTCACCACATACTCATAACAGCCAGCACTTGGCGATTAAGTGCCAGGCTCTGTTCTAACCCCTTAGACCTGTTAACTCTTACTCATCAAAACAAACTGCAAGTCAGTACCATGATTATTCCCATTTTTATACGAAGTAACTGAGGCACAAAGAGGTTAAATAACTTGGGCAAGCTCACACAGCTAGTAAGTGCCAGAGGTAGGACAGGAACCCGGGCGGTCCAGGCCCAGGGGCTTGTTAACCACTTTGCTGTGCACCTCCATGACCTCATTTAATCCCTGCAGTTACCAGATAAAGCAGGTGGTCGCCCTACTTCACAGGGTTTGGGGGAAGTTACATATGACTTGTTCAAGGTCATGCAGCTGGAAAGCGGAAGTGCCGGGACAGGGAGCCAGTTGGGCCTGATTCCGCAGCCTCTAGTCTGTGCCCCTCCACTCGGTCTCTCTTTCCTCCTAGTAGAACTGGGGCCCATTACCATTATGAGCCACTGTGTGCAGGAAGGAGTCGTCCACCAGTAGACAGTGTCCCTCAGCCCAGCACTGGGGCTCGCCCCCGACCACCAGCTCACAGCCGGGAGGAATCTTCAGGCCTGTGGAAAGAGACCCAGGCATCCAACACCCCCACCTCCATCAGAGGGGCCCACCCTATTTGGTCAAAAAGCAGCTTGAAGGTCTTCAAACGCCCCATGTGGTGTCCCTCCTTGCTCTCTGGAAGGTGTCCCAGATGTAATGACAATATAGTAGCAGATGAGAGAAGTGCTGGGAGATAGGGGAAAGGCAGTGCAAAGCATAGTCTGCTGTTCCAGAGAAAAGGGAAGGCTTCCTGGAGGAAGCGGCATCTCTTCTTGGGCTTCTGCCAATTTATTTAGCCGAAGAACCCACTTACTGTGTGCTCGGCCCTCATTAGTATAAAACTAATGGATCCATTTTGGCCCAAGGACCACAACACAGTAAAGTGCTGTGAGAAACCTGAGCAGCCAACTCAAATGATGGGGAATAGGAGGACCCCCCTGCCCAGAGGAGGTGTGGCACTGGAAAGTGGGAGTCCTGAAGGCTGAGTAGGAGTTTTCCAGGAGGTGATAGGTGATAAGGGGGAAAGACATTCTAGGCTGAGGATCAAGTGTGGCATCTGCCAGGATCAGCCAGAAGGTTCTCCTGATGTGATGTGTGGTGGGAGGGAAGGGGAGGAAGGGAACAGGTGGGAGATAAGGTGAAGAAAGAATCTGGACTTGATCCTGAGGCCAGTGTGCTTTGAAGTGAAGGACACATCAAACTGGTGGCACAGGACATGATTTTAGGCAACACAAGGTTTTAAATAACCCTGCATTAAATAACAAAATTGTTTCCTTTTCCATCTTCTCTCAGTCTTTAAAACAAGAAAGGAATCTCAGTTTGGTGCCACCATGACTTTAACACCCCCCTAACACCGCTCCCTTCTAAAGGAAGAGAGGGTAGGCTTCGGTCTCAGACTACAGTATTTAACTAGAATTTTTAAAGCTTTTTTTTTTTTAAGTTTAAATTTGTTTTTATGGGTACTTTCCATTCAGTGCAAGTAATACTGATTATCATTGTTCTATAAAGGTTCCTTTTAAATAAGTAAGTGAAACAAAATGTAAGGGGAATCAGTATCAAGAAACATAGTCCAGGTGGTAAATGACCATGGCAAAGCTTATGAAGATGGTTGGCAGGTAATCGAAGCTTAGGAAATGCCGCTGTGGGCAACAGGGAGTCATGGAAGATTTCTGAGAAGAGAGGCATGATCAGAAGCACAGTGTAGAAAGCTTTGGTGGCAGAGAAGAAAGTCTGGAGGAGGAATCGTGGAGGCAAGGAGGTTTTCTGTAGGCAGCATCTACTTACCCAGATGGCATCTGACCCGGGCATTGGTGGGCCCACAGCGACCCTCAAGCCGAGCCCCAGGCAGGAGGACAGAAAAGCCAGCATTGCCGAAGGTGTTGGCACTCATAAAGCTCCGCAGCCCCCTCAGTGCCCGATAGGCCCCCGGACACCGGCGGCAGTTGCTGGGTTGGCACCGGCCTGCTTGGTACAGCAGGAGCTGGTAGCACCCAGGGGCCAGGGGCGGGGACCAGCCCCGAGGCAGAGGAGTAGTCCCTGAGAAGTCCCAGCTCACAGCCCCGAAGTCCCGCAAAATGGCAGGGAAGCTGCTCTCCAGGAGCTCCACGTCATGCCGCTGGGCATCCCGTGGCACGAAGGGGGCTGAGGGCAGGTCTGGCAAAAAAAGCAGGCCTGGGCGCTGAATGCCCAGGACCCCCGGCCCTCCCCCAGGGCCTGGGCCACCTTGAACTGCCCGCCTCACCCTACCCATGCCCGCCCAGGAGTAGCGCCTGGCGTAGGCCCGCAGGCGACGGCTCACTAGGCCTTCTGCCCTGGGTCCTTCCCCAGGCTCCCCAGAGCTCCCTGGGCTTGGCCTGCCAGTCTCAGAGCATCCCCTAGGCCCCCCACTGACACTCCCAGCCCGACTCCCAGCCCCGAGAGCCTGCATGTCTTGGGAGCCCAGGCGGTAACAGTACCAGAGGAAAAGGGAAGTGAGGGCTCCAAGGAGCAGGGTGAGGGCTGAGGAGGCCAAGGGCGATGGCCACGCAGGCATGATGGGCAGGGAGGCCCTGACCAGGAGGCCTGGGGCATCTTCCAGACCCCAGTTCCCCTGTCCTCCCAGTTCTCCACCGGTTCCCTCTGTGGCTGCTCCCGGGTTACCCCCTGGGCTGTTTCCCCTCCACATTTCCCACTCTTGGTTCTCTCTCCTGAGGTCTTCTCTTCACCTTCTATCTCCCTCTTTCTCACCTCCTTCAAGTACCTCCCAACCCTCCTTTCTCTTTCTTTCCTTCTATCGCTCTCCCCTTCTACCTCTTCTTTCTCCTTCAACTCTCTCCTCTTCCTTCCCCCCACCCCCTCTCCTTTCTCCTTCCGGCAGTTTCTCTCCCTCAGCCTCTCCTTTCCCCACCCTCTCTGTCCTTCCCTCTCCTTTCTTCTCTCCTCCCTCTCCTCCCCGCCTCTCTTAGCTCTCCCTCCCTTCCTTCTAGCTTCCCCCGACAGCAGTTCCTACCCCACCTGGACCCGGGAGCCCGCAACCAGTTGTCCTCCGCAGCGGCTTCTCTCTCTCCTTCCAACCCCTCGTCCCCCTTCTGCCCTCGCTTCTCAGTCGACCCGACCCGCGGGTCTTTCTCTCTCTCTCTCTCTCTCTCTCTCTCTCCCCCTCCCTTTCTCCTACTCGTTCCTTCCTTGGCTCCCACTCACCCTGACGTCACCCCTCCCCACAGTCATCTCAGCTTAGCTATCCCCGCCCCCACCCAGTGGCAGTCGCATCTCAGCCGGGGTGGGGGGGGGGTCGTCTCCGGATTCGCCTCCCCTCCCCGCCCCGACGGGGCGCCACGTGGGGCGCAGGGGGCACTGTGCCAACCTCCAGCCTCCCCGCAATGCGAAAAGAAGGGGCGGGGGCTGAGGGAGGGGCGTGGCAAGACAAGGGGCGGGGCGAGCGCGTAGACTGATGGGCAGGGCCGGCGCTCGCGGACTGAGGACAGGGACACTGCCGCCCGCCCGTAGGTCGGCTGATCCCCTGACCAGTCGGCCTGTGACTCCCCTGCCCCCTCCGCCTCCACTAGAGCCAGCCCCTCACCCCACCCCCGGGAGCCTGATTGACAGTGAGGGCGGCTTCAGCCAATCGCCCGCGGCGTCGGGGGCCGGGCCCGCTCCGGCGGGGCCGGGAAGAGCTGTCCGCTAGCTGGTGGTGCTGAAAAGGGCGCCCAGAGGCGCTGTGAGGGAGGCCAGGAGGAAAAAAAAAAAAATCAAAGTTGAAGCTGCCTGGCAGCTGGCCGGGGTAATGTATGTAAGAGAAGGGGTCTCTCCTTCCCAGATCTTGGCCTGTCGCCCCTTCGACTTCTCATAAACGTGGAAATTTGCCATTCTCCTGGAGGAGGGGAAAGCCCATTTCACAGGAGCTGTAAAAGGGAAAGGGAAGTCCCGTGGGGAGGGGGGATGTCTGGATGTGTCTGGATGTGGGCAGGGGGCATATTGGGGAGCTGAGCAAGCGTGAACCCAGCTGTGCCGCCCCTCGGCACCCTGGGAAGAGGAGATTCAGATTCCAGATGTGCTGGAAAGGCTGGGGGGAAGGGGTTGTAATTACAGCTAGGACCAGAGTTTCCTTTGCCTCCCCTAGGGGCCGCGGGAGGGAGGATTACGGTCTGGCTCATGTGGTCCCTCCTTCCTCCATCTGCACTTCCTCCTTCTTCCTCCCCTCCCCCGGCGCCCCCAAATAAATCCCAGGCCCCTCCCTTCGCCCGTCCCCAGGATCTGACGTGGGCTCGACACCTTTCTCAGCTTCTCCCTCCCGCAGCTCTAGTGCCCGAGCTTCGGCTCTCCAGGTTCCGCAACCCCCTCCCCTCCCCACCAAGCCCCGCTAGAGCACAGTAGGGACCCTCCCGATCCTCGACCCCACCCCAGACCCCCAGAAGCTATCTTGCCTCTCCCCAGTCCCCCAGCTTGGGATCCAGCTAGCTCGGTGGACCCAGGCGCCCGAGCGAGAGGGTAACCCAGGCGACCCAGCCCCTTCGGCCTTCTCGGTCCCACCCCCTGCAGCCGGAGCCGCGCCCCCTCTCCCAAAGACCTGATAGCAGAGGACAGAGGAGATTGGGCAAGGAGGGGCGGGATCCAGGCGACCCCCAGCTCAATTCTGCCCCTCCATCCCAAGGGGCAGAGAAATTGTCTTCCTTGCTAACTGCTAGCGGGGGGTGGGGGGGGAGAAAATTAAAGGGAAAAATAAGAGGAGACAGAGGAAAGGTGACAGCTAGATTATTTAGAAGAGGCGCAGAGGAGAGAAATCGGTGTGAGTCGCCATGGGGACTCCCAGGGCCCAGCACCCGCCGCCTCCCCAGCTGCTGTTCCTAATTCTGCTGAGCTGTCCCTGGATTCAGGGTAAGGACATGGGAGCGTGGGGGTAGGCCCCGGGAAGGTCCCCAGCTGGGTCCTCTACCATCCTTTCTCTGAACATCCTGGGCTTTCCGAGCTTCTGGGGGAGGGGAGGGGTACAGCTGACAGGGAAGCGGCAAGCCGCGGCTTTCTGGCTTGTACCTGGAGCCCTAAACCCCAATACTGAGAAGGTGGGGAAATGAATGAGGGGAGCTTTTGCCAGCGTCTCAGGGGTTAAATCCAGGAAGAAGGGCTGGGGAAGTTGGGGAGATGTCTGCGGAGGCGGCAGAAGCAAGCAGGGTACCTGGGTGGGAGAGATGCCAGGCATTGCACATGCAAATGTTCTTGGATGTATGGACAAAGACAGATGAACAGAGGCAGTGCTCAGAGCCCACATATTCAGTCCTCTATTCTGACCCCTTGCCAGACTCCAGGGAAGCGGGCAGAGACTGCAGAGAATGAGAGAGAGAGAGAGAGAGAGAGAGAGAGAGAGAGAGAGAGAGAGAGAGCCACACTGCAGAGATAGAAACCCGGAGAGAAAGCTGGGCATTGCGGAAGCGAGGGCTGGGAGGTGCTGCCAGACCCTCCGCAGAGCTCCAGGGTTGGGGGAAGAGCACCATCGAGGGGAAAAGGAAGGTAGTTCCGTGGCCCCTCTCCCCTCTGCTGGTGCTGTCCAGGGTTCATAAGAGCCAAGAGGCTCACCGAAGGCCCACACAGCCTGGGAGGGGGGTGGGGTGGAGAGAAAGGTGTAGGAGTGTGAGGGGCAGCTGGGAGCCCCTCCTCCAGTCTTGGCTCTCAGCCCAGTCTGGGACCCTCTGAGCTCCTGCAGGCCTAGCTGACTGAGGAGGGAGGAAGAGCTCTGGAAAAGATCTTTCTGGAGAAGGAAGGAGCGTGGGGCAGTGGAAGGGCTCACACAACTTCATCTCCTAGGTCTGCCCCTGAAGGAAGAAGAGGCACTGCCAGAGCCTGGAAGTGAGGCCCCCACAGCAGCCTCTGAGGCTTTGGCCGAGCTTCTCCATGGGGCCCTGCTGAGGAGGGGTCCAGAGATGGGCTACCTGCCGGGTGAGGCCCCCAGAGTGGTAGGAGTGACATAGAGAAAGAGGGAGGGACATTAACTCGGGGAGATGGGGACCCAAGCCAGAGACATTCCGAGAGAGATGGTCAGAGAGAGTCAAAACGGCATAGACAGAGAACCAGGGCAATTGAGACCAAATGGTCAAGAGCCAGAGCCAGACAGAAAAACAGACCGTCAGAGAGAAAGATAGATGGAAACTCAGAGAACCAGAGTCTGAGGAATAGGCGGAGAGAGACACAGAAAGAGAGAGAAATGCAGAGAGTAGCAGATTTAGAATCATAAAATCAGAGAGCCACAAGAAGACTAAACAGAGAAGAAGAGTTCCAGAGAGAGCAAAAGAGAGAAAGAGGGAGGGAGAAAGTGGTGCACAGGAAAGGGAGCCAGGTCTGAACGGGGAAGCATGGAGAGGCTCAAGGAGACTGCCCAGAGAGAGCCAAGCGGAAGGGCCTGGGTAGAGAGGTGGAGAGGGAGGGGTGGGGAGGTCAGGCTGTGGAAGCCTTGGGAAGGGGTGCAGAGTTCGGGTGCGGAAGGGAGAGGTGGGGGGCCTGCACCTTGTGGGGGAGGTCTTTTGGGTTCAGTGGGGGAATCCCCAGTTTCCCTCAGCCCTGCTCCCCCACCCATGGCCCAACAATTTGCTCCTTCTGCGCCCTGACTTCCCTTGCACTGTCCCAGGATCTGATCCAGACCCCACACTAGCCACCCCTCCAGCCGGCCAGACTCTTGCAGCGCCCTCCCTGCCACGGGCCACTGAGCCAGGGACAGGGCCTCTGACAACAGCTGTAACCCCTAAAGGGGGCAGGGGGGCCGGCCCCACCGCACCAGAGCTGCTGACCCCGCCCCCGGAAACTACGGCCCCGCCCCTTCCTGGCCCCGCCTCCCCAGGCCCGCCCCTTGGGCCTGAGGGAGGAGAGGAGGAGACCACGACCACGATCATCACCACGACAACTGTTACCACCACGGTGACCAGCCCAGGTGAGGCGTTTGAAAGGGGATGGGGACAGTGTGCAGGAGCATGAATGTGGGAGAGCAGGGTGGCATGCAGTGGGAGAGGCTGCTGGAAACGTGTGGAAGAAGGAGTCTGGGTCCCGATGGGAGAGGGGCCTCTGCTCAATAATAATAAAGGCTGGCATGTGTTTCTCCTTGCTGTGTACCAGCACCGTGCTGTGTGTTTTCTCTCTATTACAGCTGGGGAAGGGAGTTGTGGGCACGGGTGGGAGAGGGAGCAGCGGATAAAGATTCCGAGGGGTGCTGGGGACAAGACAGGGGAGGGCTCCTGGAGTTGCTTGGCTGGGAGGGCAAGAACACAGGGATTCACTCAACTCCAGCCACTTGTACCTCTTTAGTTCTGTGTAATAACAACATCTCGGAGGGCGAAGGGCACGTGGAGTCTCCAGATTTGGGGAGTGCCGCCAGCCGCACCGCGGGGCTCCTGGACTGCACATACAGCATCCACGTCTACCCCGGCTACGGCATCGAGATCCAGGTAACCGGACTTTGAAGCGCCCAAGCCCTTTCCTCTGGGCCCAGGTGTGTGCACAGGTTTGGCCTGGGAACCAGAGAAACTTTTCCGACTCAAATGGGCCTGTTTTCTGAGGATCTCAGAGACTCTCCCGGAGGTCTATAATCTGGCCAGTGTCACGGTGGTATCTGGGCTGCCACATTCAGGGGAAAGGAAAACAGACGGTGGGGGACTTAGGGGTCACCCACCCTGACTTACTTGTCCTGGGGGGCGGGGGGTCTGGGTCTGGCTTCTTTAGGTGCAGACGCTGAACCTATCTCGGGAAGAAGAACTCCTGGTGCTGGCTGGTGGGGGGTCCCCAGGCCTGGCCCCCCGACTCCTTGCTAACTCCTCCATGCTGGGAGAAGGACAGGTCCTTCGGAGTCCAACCAACCGGCTGCTCCTGCACTTCCAGAGCCCACGGGTCCCCAGGGGCGGTGGCTTCCGGATCCACTATCAGGGTGAGGATGCTGGGGTGCTGGTGGAAGGGCAGGGCCCACACTGGGCACAAGAGACATCTCTGGGGGGCTTCTAAGCACAAGGAGATATCAGGGCCTTTTCCTCCGGACTAGGACCCTGGGGGGCAGAGCCCTCAGAGGAGATCTATACACACATATTTCACACACTCACAGACCTGTGTCTGGGTGTGCTCCCATCCAAGTGGCAGTTCATCCATTCACTCAACAAATGTTTATTGAGCACCCATTTCATACCGGCCCTGGGTTGTCCGTGGGGAGAGGAATGAACAAGCCAGATATAAATCTTCAAGGAACTCAGAATCTAGGTAAAGAGATGGACAAGTCATCAGGATGATTATAATTCAATGAGATAAGGGCCTATATCCCTATGAGGAAGGAAACACAGGCAGAGGGAACAAATTTCAAAGGGACCTAAATTTCTCCTAAGGAATATAGGGACACCTTCTTGGAGGAGGTAACGAAGCTGGGACCCAAAAGACGAGCTCCTAGGGAAAGGTGGGAGGGGGAGAAAGAGAAAGGCAGGTGTCCAGATGGATGAAAAAGCATGACCCCCTTGAGGAGTTGAAGTAATTCAGCATGGAAGTTAGAGTTGTCCTAGCCATGTGACCTGGGGTGAGTTACTTGACCTTCCTGTGCCTCACTGTCTCATCTGAAAAATGGGGATCATAATACTTGGCTCATGGTGTTATCAGGAAGACCAAATTAACTAATAATACATATCAAGGGCTTCAAATAGTGTCTGGTACACAGTGAGAGCGCAGAAATGTCAGTCACTGCTACAGAAAAGCCCAGAAAGTGGTGGGAGAGAAGCAGGCTACAAGAGAGCAGACCAGGAGGCAGGTTGGATTCAGATCACGAAGGGCCTCATCAGCTTCAGTAAGGAGTACAGACTACTTTATCCTGCAAGGGACATGGAGACATTTCGAAACGTTTTAAGCAAGATAGTGACAGCCTCAGATTTGTGACCTAGAAAGATCCTGCTGACTTCGAGGGGTGTGGGAGGGGATTGTATCCATGCACGACTGCATTCATGAGCACCACCCACAGAAAACCTACACACAGGTGTACGTCCGTACTCACCTGTGTGTACGGGAACCTTCCCACAGTGCAAGCATATGTTCTAGCATATGTGTGTGTGTGAGGCCAGGGGCCCGGCCCACTGTCCCTTTCCAGACATTGCTGCCATCTCCAAAGTCCCTTCCTGTGCTGCTCAGAAACAGAGAGGGAACTGTGTTTTCGGCCAATGTCCCCTTAACATCACCTCATGGCCTTGCCTGCCCCTTGTGTGCTCTGCTGACCCCAGATCCCTTGTGGGCCTTGTCCAGGACACATACAACCCGTCTCCCTGCCTCACACCCTCTCCAGTTTCTCCTGAGGCCTCTGCTTGGGCCCCAGGGACTCATATGTGCAAGCTGGAGAGACCTATTCACGGAGGGGCCAGTGAGTTGGGGGCCACGTAATTGGCGGTCAGGTCAGCAGGGAGCAAGGGCATGCCTGAGGGCTTAGGGCCAAGGGCTGGACTTCCAATGGTACAAAATGGCTCACTGCTGGCTCCCTTATGCAGCCACTTCCCTAGGGCACTGAAAATAGGACTCTTTAGACAAAGTGGAACATTTGGGGAAGCAGGGCTATTGCATAAATTGGCCTTCATTACCTGCCTCAGTCTTCCCTGCCTTGCGGCTTCTCCAGGCACCTCTGGGACCGAGGCCCTGTTTAAGCCCTCCCCAGTCAGCACTAGCTGGGGCCTCTGGTCCAGAGTGGCCTCATTAGCTTCTCTGAAAGGCCAAAGGCTCCGTCACTGCTCGCCCCAAGCCCAGCAAACATTCCCGTTTACAAAACCCTGGTGCCAACTGTTGTTTCGTGCACTTCTCGCAGCCCCCCGACGGTGGCCACTGGCCACTCCTCCCTGAGAGGAACAAAGGCTTATAGGGATCGCTCAGACACCCGCAAGCACACCGCAGAGTAGGGAGGCACATCCTCAGCCCCGACTCCCAGTCGTTCGTCAATCGAGACTGAGGGACAACTGCTTAAGATTTTCTGAGCACTTTCTACGTGTGAGGTGCTTTGCGTGTCTCTTTCCTTTAACTGGAAGGCCGGTTGTCAATGATGGGACTTATTACTGCTATTTACAGGTGACAGCCACCCCCCCTGCCCCGAGGTGGCATCACCCGCTCAAGGTGACACAGCAAATAAGTCGTGGAGCTAGAACTGGAAGTCGGGTGTACCCGTCTCCCAATCCAGTTTGTATGGTTGCATACCACCTCTGGGCTGCATCGATGGATCGGTTAGGCTAGGCTTTTGGGAGACAAAATAAATAAGGCCTGGTTCAGTCTCACCATACAATAGGCAGCAGTTCATGTGATGATAAAATTATGCATGCACAGGTGTGGAGGCAAGAAAGAGACTAACTCTATGGGAGAGGGGAGGGGTCAGGAAGACTTCCTGGAAAAGGTGGTACTTAAGTTACTCCTTGAAAGATGAGAAAGAGTGGGAAAAGGGCCTTGCAGGTAGGGGAAATGACGTCACAAAACTACACTGTGTAGGCTATATGGGTTGTGGGTGCTAAGAACTGAAGCTGGAGGTGTTGGGCTGGATGCAGTGGTGGAAGGGGCTTGAATGTCAATCCAAAGCATTTGGGTTTGATTCTGTTGGTCGTGGAGAGCCATCAAGAGGCTAATATTCATTTAAACCACTGTGTTCTAGAAGCTTTTGGGGTCTATCTCAGTAGACTGTGGACTCTCAGAGGACAAGGCCTGGGTCTTTTTCACCTCTCTGCACTAGCACCCAGCCAAGGAAATGCTTGTTGAATTTTGAAGTAGGGAGACCAGGTCTCTGACAGAAACACTCAGGGCTGGAGAGTCAGCAAAAACAAAGGCCCACACAAGCTGGAACCTCCCAAGCATGGCTACCCAGAAACAGACACACAGAACTGTGTCAGGACCAAATTTAGGGTCCATTGTCTACTGCCAAGTCACTTCCTTCCTTCTTTCCTTCCTTCCTCCCTCCCTCCCTCCCTTTCTTCCTTCCTTCCTTTTTTTTAAAGTTTACTTATTTAAGTAATCTCTACACCCAACGTGGGGCTCGAACACATGACCCCAAGATCAAGAGTTCCACGTTCTTCTGACTAAGCCAGCCAGGTGCTCCCCCCGAGTCACTATCTATTTATTTGTTTTATCTCTTGTGATTCCACAAGAGTTTCAGGAGGCTTTCAAAAAAGAGTGCAGCAAAATTAAATGAAATAAGAAAATGGGTACCAGGAAGTGCTTATAAAGATGAAAAAAATAGAATGTGGATGGACAAGCCATCGTTGCTAGGGACAAGCCTTAATCTGGTTCTGAGCTTCTTAGCAGCCAGCACAAAAAGAGAGACCACTCGGTTCTCACTGCAAGAGAGAAGAGAAACCAGTTCCTTAAGGAAAGCAAAGCCCTTCCTAGCACTTCGGCTTCATTGAGGGGGGATTCACTGAGGGGGCACTGAGTATTAAGGTCTGCAATGACAAGATAGTCAAAGCTCCTAAAGGAGTTTCATGTGGCTCCTCTGGATGAAAGCTGAGGGTCTACTCCCACCATGCACCTCAGTGAAAGAGCGTGTGTGCAGAGGGGAGAAAATACTTTGAGGCACTTAATAACCAATTGCTACATCTGGAAAATGGATCACAGCCTTACTCTGACTACCTCAAAAGCACTGCATGAACTCATTTTAGAAGCTGGACAAGCTCTGCAAATACTATATGTTATTATTAGAGCTGGCTGGGTTCACAGTGGTCAACTGATTTGCGTGAGGTCACCACAGCAAGTGAGTGCTAAAAGCCAGAATTTCGTTGGGTCTCAGATACTTCATCTATAAAATGGAGGCCAAAGTGGGTGGATTACAAAGACTAGGGGAGAGAAGGAATGTTGAGATTGCCTCTTCGTGAGACCAAGTGCCCGTATGAGAACTCCAGTATGGAGCTGTCTGTGCCACCAGGGGACCTGGGAAGAGGGAAGGAAATGCTAGGGGGTTGGTGAGAGCGGTTGGCATGGGAAAGAAAGTCCTCCTTCTCCCTGCTCTGCCTGATCCAGCCTACCTCCTGAGCTGCGGCTTCCCTCCCCGGCCAGCCCATGGGGATGTGAGCGTGACTGACCTGCACCCTGGGGGCACTGCCACCTTCCACTGTGATTCAGGCTACCAGCTGCAGGGTGAGGAGACCCTTACCTGCCTCAACGGCACCCGGCCAGCCTGGAGCGGTGAACCCCCCAGCTGCATGGGTGAGTCTCCTGCACGATAGGTGGGGCTTCTGTTCTGGAAGCCCCATTGGGAGGGTACTATCTTGGCAGTCCCTATCTTTGGGGAACATCCATCTTGAAGGGGTTTCTGCCTGGAAGAGGGCCTATCCTGGTGTCTCCATCTGGAGCTCTTTACACAGAAGGTCTCTACCCTTGGAGAATCTCCATCCTTGGCAGGCGCGGGTGTCTCTATCTGGGGATGTCCTACCTAAAGTGTTTCCATTTGGGGAGTCACCATTCTGGAGGTCTCTTCTTTCAGAGACTCCTCATCCTCCAGGAAACCATTCTGGAGGTCCATATTTAGAGGATCTCTATCCTGGAGAATTTTCATCCCAGGGATCCCATCTTGATTTCCATTTGAGGGCTTCAATTTTGGGGATCCCTCATAACTCCCCATGCCAGGGAGTGTTCATATTAGCAGGATTTCCATCCTAGGGGGTGTCCATTCTGGGGTTTTTCTATTCTAGGGCTGGTTCCCTCCTGGGTGATGGCCTTGGAAAAGGTCCCATCCTCTGGGCTGAGCCCGTAAGGCAGAGACCACTCTGAGTCCAGGTCTCAACCAAAGGTGTGGATGTAACAGCTCTGAAGACATGAGGACAAGTCACCTTAACATGTCTCCCCTCTACCCACAGCATCCTGTGGTGGCACCATCCACAATGCTACTCTGGGCCGCATTGTGTCCCCTGAGCCTGGGGGAGCGGCAGGGCCCAACCTCACCTGCCGTTGGGTTATCGAAGCAGCTGAGGGACGCCGGCTTCACCTGCACTTCGAGAGGGTCTCACTGGATGAGGACAATGACCGGTGAGGGTCTGGGCCTTGGGTCAGAGGTCCCCACCTCCGGGAAATAGGAAGGCTGCAGTGGGGAGTCAGACAGATCCAGGGTGGATCCCAGTTAAAATGTGTGTCAAACACAGATTAGTCCTTCCCCTTTCTTAGGCGGTACAGCTGTGCAAACTTAGACGAATCATTGACCCTGTGTGTGCTTCAGTTTCCTCTTTAGTAGAACGGAGATCATAGGACCTCCTTCTGATGGTTTCTATGAGGACAAATGCGTTAAGATACGTGAAGTGCTTAGAAGGGTGCCAGGCACACAGTGAGCCTGGTAAATGTGTTTGTCTTCGTCATCATCATTGGTACCATCCCTTGCCTAACAAACCGATACCTCAGCGCTACCACTAGTGATGTTGGGCAGGTGACTCTTTCTGGCCCTCAGTTTCCTCATCTATAAAATCAGGGATAATAAATCGTACTGACTCGAGGGCTTTTGTGAAAAGTAAATGAGATAAAATGTGTGAAGGCTTAGCGTACATGGTACATAGTCAATGCTTGAAAATAATAGCTGTGAAAGTGAGTTAGGAGAGCCAGCAAGAGGCGAGGCAGCTTCTGAGGGGAAACTGAGCTCCTGGCCACCCTTCTGTCCATCCCAGGCTGATGGTGCGCTCAGGCGGGAGTCCCCTCTCCCCAGTCATCTATGACTCGGACATGGATGACGTCCCAGAGCGGGGTCTCATCAGTGATGCCCAGTCCCTCTATGTGGAGCTGCTTTCAGAGACACCTGCCAATCCCCTGCTGCTAAGCCTCCGATTTGAAGGTAAGTGCCCTCCTCCGGGGGGCCCCAACTCCTGCACTTTCCCGTCTTGTTGATGGCCAGGTATGATCACAAGCACATACCCTGTCCCTGCTCATCTCTGTGTTTGGATCTCCGGAAACTAACTTCCTCCCCACCCCAAAACTACAAGGATCCCCTCATGTGGACCCCTTCTAATTCCTGGGGTGGGTTTTCCCGTTTAAGTTTCACAGAGGGCTGGATCCAGGTGCACAGCCAAGAGACCAGGCACCTTCATGTCTCAGTGCTTTCCTCTGTGTTGGCTTCACCGTCAGTCAGGCTGTCAGTCTGTGGTGCACCTAGCAGTTCCAGACTGACGTACCACCAACATAGTAAGTCCATCAGAAAGAGAAAGGGTACCACTTTGCTAAGAGCTTCAGCAAAAATGCCAGGAAGGGGCTCTCATTTTTCTGGCTTAGGTCATTGTGTCTACACCTGAGCCAATCACTGAAGCTCAGGGCAGGTGGTGTTATGATTGGCAGATCCACATCATATGACCATCCATAGTTGGCCCTAACTGGACCTCATAGACTGGAAATGGGTGAGGCATGTGTCCCAAAATGAAAGTAGGAGTGCTATGAACAGAAGAAGGGGGACTAGATGCTGGACAGGTAGAAACAAGGAGGTCAGTGCTCATGGGAGAAGGAAGAGGCATTTGAGCTGGGCCTTACTGGATAGAGAGAATTTTATTATTTTATTTTATTTTATTTTATTTTATTTTATTTTATTTATTTTTTAGAGAGTGAGAGAGAGGGGGTGGGGAGAGGCAGAGAATCCCAAGCAGACTCCATGCCCAGTGTGGAGCCCAATGTGGGGCTCAGTCTCACAACCCTGAGACCATGACCTGAGCAGAAATCAAGAGCCAGACCCTTAACTGCTTGAGCCACCCAGGTGTTCCTAGGATAGAGAGAATTCTAAAAGAGGGAGATTAGGGATGAGCATCTCAGATGAATGGAACAGTGTGAGCAACAGTAGAGAAAGGCCTGGTATTGTTTGGGAAATAGAGAATTTCAGTGTGCCTGGAGCAGAGGATTTGTGCAAGCAGTAGCAGGAGAGAGACAAAGAAAGTAAAATGCTCAGAGAGGGGAGGGGCTGGTTTCTGGTGTGAATCAAGGGAGAAATGGAATTGGCACTGGGCCCTGATGGATGCATAGGATTTGGACATGACACCTCATCCGGTTTAAGTAACAGTGAACTAGAACAGTAGATCTGAAAAATAAATTGCCTGTTAGATTTGAAAATGTGAAAACAATTCCCAGGTTTGAGGTCTGCCTCCCTAGTTGTGGACCACTGCTGCTCCATGAGCTTCAGATTCCTCTGATCGTTTTGCAGCTAAGACACGATCACGTGGGCAAAAACTAAAATGATCTCCAAATGTTCATTTTTGCTGAGTTAGTCCAAAGTCAAAATTGAGTAGCTTCTGCATTCACTGCATTTTTGGATTCTAGCTACAGCATGGATAATCAAGGGTGGGGAGAATCTGTTCTTTTGTTTTTTTAAGATCATTTATGGGGCACCTGGGTGGTCAGTCATTAAGCGGCCGACTCTTGGCTTCAGCTCAGGTCATGATCTCAGGGCCGTGAGATCAGGACCCAAGTCGGGCTCTGCACTCAGCAGGGCATCTGCTCAAGATTCTCTCTCTCCCTCTCCCTCTGCCCCTCCCAACCCCTGCACTCTCTCTCTTTCTAAGATTTATTTATTTACTTTAGGGAGAGAGAGAGAGAGAGAGACAGAGAGCATGAGCAGGGGGAGCGGCAGAGGGAGAGAAAGTATCCACAAGTAGACTCTCCGATGAGTGCAGAGCCCAATGTTGACTCCATTTGATCCCACGACCCCGAGGTCATGACCTGAGCTGAAACCAAGGGTCAGACACTTAACCCACTGAGGCACTCAGGTGCCCCTCTACTGTTATTTTTGAGGAGAGAACACACCTGCATGAGCCAGTTCTCCAAAGGCACCCTTTCCCCTCCCTCCTCTGCAGTTTCCAAAACCAAGTGGCTCTGGCTGGGAATCAAGCAATCTGGGTTTGAGACCTGATTCTGTGTGACACTGGGCAAGTGATTTTTTTGTCTGTGGACCTCAGTTTCCTTATCCGTAGAATGAGGGCTGGGATTTGACTAGCCTAAGGGTTTCCCTCTAGAGGCCAGGAAGGTAACATATATGTGTGAGTGAGAAGGTTAGGATTTTCGGGAGACTGGAGAGTGAAAGCTAAGCCCAAAGGCATTCCATTTTAAACAGCCCACCAAGTGGCCAAAGCACACTTGAATTCAGCCCAAGTCCCCCCAAGTCTGAGATCCCCTGAGGCCCATCCTCATGCTTACTTTCTGGGACTGACCCCCTCTCTAGCCTTTGAAGAAGATCGCTGCTTCGCTCCCTTCCTGGCACACGGCAATGTCACCACTACGGACCCTGAGTACCGCCCGGGGGCACTGGCCACCTTCTCGTGCCTCCCAGGATATGCCCTGGAGCCCCCTGGCCCCCCAAATGCCATCGAATGTGTGGATCCCACAGAACCCCACTGGAACGACACAGAGCCAGCCTGCAAGGGTGAGCCCTCCACGTCCGTAGGAGCTCCTTCGGTCTGCAGACTACCCTGAGCTGGGGATCTTAGGGAGGCCATTCAGGAAGGAGACTTGCATATCCAAACCCAGTAAACCCAGGCCTTGGGTAAATCCTTGTCCTTTTCAGAGATAGTTTTCTTAGCTGAATAAATTGGTGGGTTTGTTACAGAATTTAGGGGTCACAACCCAAATGTCTCGAAGAGCTCCAGCTGGAGCTAAGTCATGTGATGGGGGTAATGCATAGGCTGGAGAGTGGGCGGGGTTAGGTGAGAGCAGGGCCGGGGGTTGGGCACAGGTAGTAGGTAACAGGGAGCCTGTGAGGCGGTCTGGTGCACCCAGCTGGGAGTGGTGAGGCCCTTGGTGAAATGAAGACTGAGTTCCGATTCTGCCCCCCCTTGTCCCCAAGCCATGTGTGGAGGGGAGCTGTCAGAGGCGGCTGGTGTGGTCCTCTCTCCCGACTGGCCCCAGAGCTATAGCCCCGGCCAGGACTGTGTGTGGGGCCTGCACGTCCAGGAAGAGAAGCGCATCTTGCTCCAAGTTGAGATGTACGTTCAGGTGCTGCCGGGGGTGTGATGGGTGTGGGCTCAGTGAAGTGTGGTATGACAACACCCTAGCCTGCGCTGTGAGCCTGGCTGGCTGCGCAAGATGAAAGAGGCGACTAAGGGTTCAGGATGGGGGTGTGGGTTGTCAGGTAGACCTAGGTACAAATCGCCTTGGATTTGTCCAGGCGACTCTGGACAAGGACACGGGTAATGCAGCCTTCTGCAGGGGCTATAGTGTGAAAAGAGGGCTCTGGCCTGGTGTCTCTCACTCTTTGGCTATTTCTGAGGCTGCCCCTGGAGGGGTTTCCAGGAACCCAGGCCCAAACTGCGGCCTAGTCACCATCATGCGAGGTGGTGGTGGGTGTGGGGAGAAGCCAGTGAGCTGATTTAGTATGAGATGGCCATGTGACCGGATGGAACCAGAAGTGGGCATGGCCCCAAAGCGGATACTCCTGGCAGGGGCAGGGAGTTGGGCCACACTTGAGCGAGACTGTGCATCACCTGGGGATGGAGGAGGGGCCAGAGAGTTCGAGGAGTTCCTAAGGAGTTGGGCTGGGAATCAGGAAACAGGAACTGGTAAGAGCCACAGAACGAGTGGAACCCGGAGGGGCTAGCACAGAGAAGCCCATAATTGCTCAAAGGGCGGCCAGACCTGGGATGGGGGAATGTGGACAGAGCTGGAAAGTAGGTAGGGTTCCTAATGAACTGGGTTAGGGATTGGGCAGAACCGCATAGGAGGGGCCAATCGTAACCCAGCCTGCACATCTGGTTCCACTCCCTGCAGCCTGAATGTGCGTGAAGGGGACATGCTGACATTGTTCGACGGGGACGGTCCCAGCGCCCGAGTCCTGGCCCAGCTGCGGGGACCTCAACCGCGCCGCCGCCTCCTCTCCTCTGGGCCTGACCTCACGCTACAGTTCCAGGCACCGCCAGGGCCCCCAAACCCGGGCCTGGGGCAGGGTTTCGTGTTGCATTTCAAAGGTACCGAGGTCTAGGGTCCTGAAATGCGCAGGGGTCCGGCAGGCCAGGGATCCCGGGAGGGGCGCGGCCCCCGAGGCTGGAAGGGCTCCCGGAGTCGGTCGCAGGACAGCCTCCAAACTCGCTGTCACCCCCCTGCAGAGGTCCCGAGGAACGACACGTGCCCGGAGCTGCCACCTCCGGAGTGGGGCTGGAGGACGGCCTCCCACGGGGACCTGATCCGGGGCACGGTGCTTACTTACCAGTGCGAGCCTGGCTACGAGCTGCTCGGCTCCGACATCCTCACCTGCCAGTGGGACCTGTCCTGGAGCGCGGCGCCGCCCGCCTGCCAAAAGAGTGAGCCCGGGCCCCGCCCAGGTCTCTCATGGCCCCGCCCCTGCCCGTCGGGGTTTGGCCGCTCCGCTTGGGCCCCGCCCATCCCCTCTGCGGCCAGCTTCTGTCCCTTTTTGCCCTCGCCCCTGTCCCGGCCGAGTTTCTCAACCCTTCGCTGTGGATTCTGCCCGGATCTTACTCAGGCCCCGTCCCTTAAGCCTTTGGGTTCCACTCCTCTGATCCTCGGTGTCCCGAAACTGTCCCCTCTGGACCCCGCTCTCATCTCCGGTTTGCGCCCCTCTCCCGCGCACTGTTCCGGGCTCTGACCGGGTTTCCTCTGGGTCCCGCCTTACCTTCTCGTGGTCCCGCCCCCACCCCCTCCTGGTCCCGCCTCTGTCGCGTCAGAATCCCGCCCCTCCCCGGGCCCGCCCCCGTCAACTCTGTGCTCAGCTCTTCCCCTTCTAGACCCTGCTCCAGTCTCAGTCCCCCACCCTTGACGTTACGGGGAGTCACTTCGCTGGGGCCTAGGCTGGTCAGAGAACTTGGTTTATTTTAATGCAGTCATTGAAGCCCCATGCTGGGTTGCGGTTATGCAGAGGGGCTGGGGTCCCTCCTGATCCTGGCGGAGCTCGCAGTCCAGAAGGGGGACATTTAAACAGCTCAGGATATTACAGAGCCGTTAACTGCAGGGTGATTCGGTGCAAAGTACTTAACATCTCTGAGTCGTGGCTGCCTCACCGGTGAAACAGGAATAAGGGCTGTGAAGAGTTTTCACACAGTACCTCTGCATGAACAGTTTAGTAGCTGCTATAAATAATAAAGAAGCGCTGTGGGAAGTGGGGTGGTTCATTGTTCCGGGGAGAGGACAGGAGATTTCACAGAGGAGGTGATATTTGAAGGAGCTAGGAGTGTTTATCTCTTAGAATAGCAGAAAGCGGTGGCGTCTTGTCATTTTCTCCAAATTTGGGGAAGCCTGCCACAAGGATATGGGATTGTAGGTCTTCCACCTGGCCCTGGGGGGCAATGGTGGGACCGATGAGGTCAAGTTCAGGAAAGCAGATTTGTGCTGGACACAAGGAAAACTTTCTGGTTGACCCAGCTCCCCATCTCGAGAAGGACTGACAGGATGTCCAGTCTGAAACCCAGACAGGACAGGGGAAGGGATGGAGGCAGGGCCCAGAGGGGATAGGGCCCGGCCAAGGCAGCACATTGAGCCTGAAGCTGAGCTGAGACCCAAGTCTCTGAGTCTCAGCCCAGTGCTCTGGGCCTCTGACGGGGCTGAGGGGCCATGGGCCAGTTATTTGACCGCCCTGAGCCCCGCTAGATGAGTCACGGTGACGTCTCGGGATCCTCAGGGTATAGGATACTGTTTGTAAAGCATTTAGCAGAGGTCCATATACAAGAAATGGCTCTGATTGTTATTTGCACAAGGTTGTAAACGAGCACCTGCAGGGCAGGCTGTGCGAGTGAGTGGAGGGTGCTGGGGATGACTGGACGAGCGGAGCAGGAGGGCTGGGCCCCTCTAAGGAGCACAGCTGCCGTGCCGCCCCGCCTAAGACCACCGTGCGGGACCGGCGGCGCTGGGATGTAGTCACATGCTCTGGTACGGGGGCAAAATATTTCACATTTCATCCTCAGATGGGGGCCTGGCTTGTCCCCACTGCTCTTTTCTGGCAGAAGCCTGAAATCTAAAGTGCACCAAATTTTCCATTTTTCCAACTTCTGATCTCTTCATTTGGAGGAAATGGTGGGAGATGGGGGTTTGCTTAGGGCGAAAATGGCCCATGGCTCAGGCAGCTCCCGGCCCTCAGCTTCCGGGAGATCTTTTAAGGCCTGAGCTCCCCCTGAACTTGCCCTCCCGCCAACAGTCATGACTTGCGCCGACCCTGGTGAGATCACCAACGGGCACCGTACCACCTCAGACGCTGGCTTCCCTGTGGGCTCTCACGTCCAGTACCGCTGTCTGCCGGGGTACAGCCTGGAGGGGGCGGCCGTGCTCACCTGCTACAGCCGGGACACGGGCACACCCAAGTGGAGCGACCGGGTCCCCAAGTGTGCCTGTGAGTCTGGGGACACCCTGGGAAGGGTGGCTGGGTGGCCTGCTCAGCAGCGAGCCAGGAGGTGACTGACGTATGCCCTGCAGTGAAGTATGAGCCGTGCCTGAACCCAGGGGTGCCAGAGAACGGCTATCAGACGTTGTACAAGCATCACTACCAGGCCGGCGAGTCTCTGCGCTTCTTCTGCTACGAAGGCTTTGAGCTCATCGGCGAGGTCACCATCACCTGTGTGCCCGGCCACCCCTCCCAGTGGACCAGCCAGCCCCCACTCTGCAAAGGTGCCCGGGCAGACAGGGCAGGAGGGGGCACGGCAGGGTCTGGGGAGTGACGGGACTGGGAAAGTCAGGTAGTAGCAAATTTGAGAGCAACGGTAACCCTGCTGAGCTCCCCATTCACCTCCTGTGGGATCTGGTCCTCACAAGTACACCCAGGGGTCCTGGGGAATTTCAAGGTCATGGAATTGTCCTAAGGGATGTAGCAGAGGGGGCCTTGGCTTGGAAGTCTCTTGCCCTCTGGGTAGGTCTCAGGTTCCCCATTTTTGACAAATTCTACAGACCCGATTAGTTCAGACTGCCCAAGAACCCTGAACTTCTCGGGGTCTGGAGAAGGAGGAAGAAGGCCCTGCCCTGACTACTCCTCCCCTGGCCCCCACCAAAGGAAGGCTAAAGTTTATGTTGAGCAGAGGGCAGAGAGAACCAGGCTGTCCAGCCCAGCCCCACTGGGCTCCCGGCCTCTACCCAGCCTCCTTCCCTCCCTGGCTCAGACCCCGTCCCCTCCCCCTCCTCTCCCTGCAGTGGCCTATGAGGAGCTCCTGGACAACCGAAAACTGGAAGGTCAGTGAGGGCACAGGTGGAGACCCAGGCCTGGCCGAGTCGGGAGGGCAAGGCAGAGGCCGGGGGCAGGAGGCCCGGCCCCGGAGGGGTGAGGCCCAGGGTTTGAGGCCCAGGGTTCGAGGCCCAGGGCAGGAGGCTGGGAGAGGCCAGTGGGCTGGGCCCAGCCCCAGCTCACTGGCCTCTCCTCTCCCCAGTGACCCAGACCACAGACCCGTCGCGGCAGCTGGAGGGTGGGAACCTCGCCTTGGCCATCCTGCTGCCCCTAGGCCTGGTCATTGTCCTCGGCAGTGGCGTTTACATATACTACACCAAGTAAGTACCCTACTCGGGGAGCTGCTCGCCAGGGCAGACGTCCTGCCTGCCTGGCACAGATGCCTGGGTGAGGGGGGGGTTGGGGGCTCACCTCTCGATAAGCCCCTCTATCTCCTCCCTCTCCCAGACTACAGGGAAAATCCCTCTTCGGCTTCTCGGGCTCCCATTCCTACAGCCCCATCACTGTGGAGTCAGACTTCAGCAACCCACTGTATGAAGCTGGGGTGAGCTCTTCCCCTCCCCCTGGAGAGCCACATCTCAGCTCCCCCAGGGCTCCAGATCTTTCTCTCAAAGTCTCTGTAATACCCATCTTGGGGATTTCAAACTCAGCTGCAACACAGCAAGTCGGGTGTGCCTGGTCGGGAGTGGAGGCATGGTGGGGACTGTGGCTAAGGGGCCAACTTGTGCCCCATCTAGTCTGTAGTGAAAACTTAGGCCCAGTTGCCAGGTCTTCCAGTTGTTCAAGACAACCCAAAAACTCAGATTTGTGTGTGATTTTAAGATACCGTAAGATGAACCAAATATCCCCAGGCCAGATTCAGCCCCATTCCCACCCCATGGCTCCCAAACCTCATGATCCATGTTATTTTAAAAACCCAGGTCTTTCCCCTCCCTGATGGATGCCTCCTCCCATTTTGTTCCCTCCTCCATCCCCGTCCCGCTCCAGCAACTGACCCCATCTCTCTGTCTCCAGGATACACGGGAGTATGAAGTTTCCATCTGAATCCCAAGACTAAGGCTGCAGGACCCAGGACGCCCTTCCCCTCCCCACTCTGGGCAGGGAGGAGCACAGGACCTCATCTCTGGCTCCTTTCCTCCCTGCTGTGTAAATAGTCTCTTGGTCCCACGAGGGGGCTTTGACGGCCCCGGGACCCTACAGTAAATAAACCAGCATCCTGCCGCCCAAGCCTCCTCTTCTCAGTTGCCAAACAAGGGGCCTGCCCCTCCCCTCCCGCCCTTCTGGCTTTTGGACCCTGGGAGGGGAACTCAGCCCCTCTGCAACTCCTGGGGCCCCTCCGGCCCAGGGCACCGCCCCCCCCCCCCAAGGACTGCCTGAGAGTTCTGCTATTCCCTTGGCCCTGAAGGCTCTTCCCAGTTGCTCTGGCCACAGGCCTCACCCCTGGGCTCCGGAGGGTCAGAAGAGGGATGAGGGGGAAAGCAGGAACAAGGCCCCCTACCCGCTTCATGCCATCACCCAGCCCACAATCTCCCCACCTTTGCTTCTGGATTTTTGGTTTTGAGCAATAAACAGAAAACCACCATTTGTAACTGGGCTGGTGGGGTGTGGGAAGGTGGGTCACGGGTGGGCTGGAGAGAGGCCTGGGGGAAAGGGAACAGTTTGGGAAATCGATGGAGCTCCAAGACGGGGAACAGGGCAATGTCAAGGGGGCTGGCCTGGGGACAAAACGCCCGGCTTTCGGCTCAGCCTGTGTGGAGGATGAGCCCCCTCTGGGCCTCAGGTGTCTCTACCCCCATGCTTGATGCTTCTAGGCTCTTTTAGCCTGAAGATAGCAGCTGACAGCAGCTGCCTCCCCTGAGTGGCAGGAGCCTCCCTCCCTCACTGCTTGGCAGGACGCAAACAGCTCTCCGTTCCATGACCCGTTCACCTAACATGCACGCTCCTTTTGAGAATGTTTGTATCTATCCAAGTGTACCATTTTTCCCCCCAATCTTTTTGGCGCTGTAAGTATATCTGCTGTTACATGTCTACTAAGTAATGGTCAAATCTGTAGCATTTCATAAAGAATGAGCTTGTTTCGTACCCTCTGGGGGTCCTTTTCCAGCTTATTTGCTTTTGAACATTTGTCTAAAGGGTCTCCAAATCAAGTGAATTTCACTTAATTCAAATTTTATATTTAAATATAATTACGCATTTTTAGGACACTCAAAAGGACCCTGACATACTCAGAGGAGGCTGAATTTTAGCACACGATGCAAACTGATCCTTACAATAGCCTGCGTTTCTGGGCCTTTCTTCTGTGCCGGCCATGGTGCTTAAGCACTTTGTATGTGTTCTGTTTTCAACCTCTACAAGGAGCCCGCAAGACAGGGATAATTATTCCCGTTTCTCAGATAAGAAAACTGAGGCTCAGAGATGTGAACAGACTTCCTCAGGAGGCTCAAATAAGTGACCAGATTCAGATTTAAATGTAAACGCCACCAAGGTGGCTGCATTCCCTTCTGGCGAGCAATGGGGGTGACATGTTCCCCAGGCATGAGGCCCCGGAGCCTGGAGGGGAGGCCTCAGCCCTGACGTTGGCGGCAGAGGTGGCTTCTCAGAAGCAAGGGTGGACCCTCTCAAATGCCAAAGGCCTAGACATTAAGGTGCTGGAGTGTGGCTGGGAGGCTAGGTTCGGATCCGTGAGCTCATCTCCGCCAAAAGGCTGACAGAAAACAGGTCGTTAACTGCCCAAATTAAAGCCATTCCAGTAACATGGAATATGCCATTTCACCCATATGCCCACATATCTGGCAAGGGAAAAAAAAGAAAGAAGAAGAAGAAGGAGAAAAAGGAAGGAAGGAAGGAAGGAAGGAAGGAAGGAAGGAAGGAAGGAAGGACGGAAGGAAGGAAAATAAAGAAAAAAAAAGAAGAAAGAAGAAGAAGAAGAAGTAGAAGAAGAAGAAGAAAGAAGGAAGAAGAAGGAGAAGAAAGAAGGAGAAGAAGAAAAGAAGAAGAAAGAAGAGAAGAAAGGAGAAGAAGAAAAGAAAGAAAGAAAGAGAGAGAGAGAGAGAAAGAAAGAAAAGGAAAGAAAGAAAAAAGAAAGGGCCGCCCTTTCACATCTCCACCCCAGAGAAGCCACTCCAGAGCCAGGCCTGGGTTGGGAGGAGGGAAGGACCTCTCTTGGTCTTTTTATTAAAGCCTTTGATTTCTGGTGATGTCCTTGCCAGCTGAGCGTGGAAAGGTGTGAGATGGTTCCAGAACACCTGGGAGGCTTCAAGTGTGCTGCTGCTTATGACCAGGAGTCCCCAGCAGACCGAAGCGTTAGTGACTTGTGAATGAGGAGGTCTGACGCATGTTCTAGGAGGACACAATGGGGGGAGCGTGAGAGGCCAAGAGCAGCACTGCAGAAGGTTGCGGTCATCCTCCAGATGTCAAGCTGCTAAGCCCAGCTCCCTAGAAAAGTAAAAGAGCCTTCTGATTCTTTGGACCTAACACTCCTATGTTCTCCTTCTGTCCCTCACCTCTCCATCCAACCCCTATCCCCCACTCATCTCTCTATCCATCCACCATTCCCCATCTTCCCCCACCCATTCACCCGCTATCCATCCATGCACGTATTTATCCACCCTCACATCTACCCATCATTCTACCCATGCATACATTCTACTCACCCATCTGCCTGTCCATCTATCCCTCATTCACCCATCCACCCACTCAGCCCTCTTCTACCTAATAACTCAGCCCCCATTTAAACTTCTCAAAAGCAAGGGAGTCTACCTTGCTCACTTCTATACTCCGGCCCCTACAGCAGCCCTGGCACATAAACGTTCAGTGCCTAATGAACCTTCAGTGAATTTGTCCATCCATTTATCCGTTCATCCATTTGCCTACCCTCTCCATCGGCTCATCCGCTCACCCATGCCCCGACTCAATATTTTGCCCACCTACAATGACCTATAATTCGAGGGGCAGTTCAAAGATCTGTAGGCTTCCATGTTCTTGAGGATGAGGAAGGGAAAGTCTCTTGGGACCATGGGGCGCTGCCCAGGGGATGAGAGGGTATTGGCTCAGGATGAAATTCTCAATCAAGTGCCATTTGGGGGCACAGGAAACCACTGTATGGACAGATAGGGCCCTTACAGAGCATCTTGTCCAAGGCCCCCATTTGACATATGGGGAGAAAGGAAGCAACTTGCACAAGGCTAACTATCAGGTTGAGAGCAGATTAGCTGTTAAGGCCCAGGGCTCTCCTGCTACTTCAAGCTGCTTCTACCACCAAAGCCCAATTGGGAAAGTTCAAATGTCCCAAAGGCACTAGAAGGCCAGCTCCCTGAGGTTAAGAATTGTGCCACTGGTCTTGGTCATGAACATTGGAAGTAGCAGCCCCAGAAAACTGACCATCCCTAACACCTGGTGGAGCCGGCACATACTAGACACTCAATAAACATCTGCGGTCAGCTCCTTCTCTGCCTTCCTCACGACCCCCTCTCTCCTCCTCCACCAACTCCTCACATGGAGAGATTCTTCCAGACTCCAGCCTCAGCGCCCTCTTCCTGCTTACTCTGCCTACCACCCCCCCCCCAACAGCCTTCAACTGCTGACTCCCTCCTAAATCCAATTTCTATCACCAGCCCAGACATCCCTGGTGAGTTTTGAAGCCCTATTTCCAACTCTCTACATGGTATTTCCACCTGGTCTTCCCAGGGGCACTGAGGTCAACCTACCCAAAGGTGGGAGCACGGCTGCCGTGCTCCAGGAAGACTGAGGAGGCTGGCATGGCTGAGAACAGAGGGAGACAAGGCGAACAGTTCTAAACAATGAGGTCAGAGAGACAGTGGGGTGTGGGGGAGGCGAGAGGCCCTGTAAGCCACTGAAGGACCTTGGCTTTTCCTCTGAAGCGGGGAATTATCGTTATCATGGTGTTCAGAGCAGAAGCATGACATCATCAGACTTAAGTTGCAGAAGTCAGAAATGTGGGGGCGGGTCAGCTGATTTCCTCTTTTTTCTTTCCCCCCTACCATTTCTATTCAATGACCAAACTCAGTTTTCCTGGTCTTTATTTCTCATATCTGCCCCTCTTCTCATCTCTACTATTACTATGACAATTCAGGAGCCGATCCTCACCGGCTTAGTCTCTTGGCGTAACTGCCAACTGGCCTCCACCTCTCATCTCCCCTTTCCAGCTCACTCCCCCCACTGACCACCGGAGTGACTATCTAAAATTACAACCTCGCTTGCTCAAATCTTTTCAGGGGCTCCTGATCTTAAGGCACGCACGCATGAGGTCTCTGAGTAGACCTGGACTACCACGCCTCTGTACTCCAGCACCTAAACTGCCCTCTGATCCCACTTTCTCTCCCCCTCCTAAGAACACAGACACACTCCCATTCACTCTGCTGAAACTCACCTCATGTCTTTGCTCATACAAGCCCTACCACTTGGAATACCCTGACCCACCCATTTTTTTCCTGGAAGATTCTTTCTTTTCTTTTTCTTTTTTTTTTTTTTTTAAAGATTTTATTCATTTATTTGAGAGAGAGAGAGAGAAGGAGAGCACGAGAGGGGGAAGGGTCAGAGGGAGAAGCAGGCTCCCGGACGTGGGGCTCGATCCCAGGACACCGGGACCATGACCTGAGCCAAAGGCAGCCGCTTATCCTACTGAGCCACCCAGGTGCCCCTGGAAGATTCTTTCTTTAGATGTCACCTCCACCAGGAAGCTCCATGATTCCTTTCCTTCCTACCCCAAGGCTGGGATAAGCGCTCTTCTCGTTTCCAATTCTATTATAGGCACTGATCCATATCATGTTGTAATTGACCATCTACTTGACCAGCGCCACGCTAAACTGTGAACTCCTCAAGGGCAGAGACTGTATCCTTCACTTCTGGGTCCCGAGCTCCTAAAACCGGGACTGGCATATCCTGTGAACTTTAAATGTTTGGTTAATACTGAATGGCCTTGTCATTCGTGGAATCAGTATATACCTTGTCACGAGGGGACGGCAGGAGGTGGGCCCTGGTGCAGGTACGGTTTCTGTCAGAACTAGAGAAGGCAGAGGGAAAGGGGAGGGCCGAGAATGTGGAAGTCGAGGACCAGAGCAGAAGAGAATCGGACTACACGGTTTTAAAATTTCCCTACCCTGCTAGGATGTTGTTAAACCCTTGCTCTCTCCCCTTCAGTCTCCTCGTCCTTCTCCCAGGACAAAGGGCATCTCCCTTGAAGCTTCACTCACCAGGTATCGGTGCCTCGGGTCTTGAAGGACACTGGAAGTAGAGGCCCGCGTCAGAGAAATTATTACTCCCAGAGCCAGAAAGAGATGTGGCTAGGGAGAAAGGGGCTGAGGTGTTCCTGGCCAGCAGTGAGGGGTGGGCACTGGGTGAGTTGGAGGGGGCAGCACTGCGCAGTCCAAGGGCTGGCTGTGAGTTCAGGGAGGTGGGCCCAGATTGCTGGAAAAGGTCAGCTGTGGTTGGGAGGGGTCAGGGACTGGAACTCGGGGCATGGTAGGGTCTCCGGACACAGTGGTCCTGGAGTGGGGGGGGGTCACCGTGTTTGGATATCTGAGTCCCTCGATCTTGGGTCTGTTTTTCCTTGGTGGGCACAGAGTTCATGTGGCAGCCAGCGATAAACAAGGCCTCATTGGTGAGTTCTGTGCTGATCCGGGTCAGGAATTCCTCAGATCGGGATAATGAAACCTTCTGCAAAAGGGGAAATCAGAGGGGCTCAGCCTGGGAGTTCCCACATGGGAGCCCTGGGTCTGGGTCTAAGGTCTGAGTCTGGTATTGGAGGGCTGATTCTTGAGATTTGGCAGAGAAGGCACTGGAAATGAGAGGCAGTCTTTGAGAACCTCAGGGCCAACTGCTGGGGGCTATGGGCTCAGGGTTGAGACTAGAGTCTCAAGGCTGGAGGTGTCAGTGCCCTTGGCCTAGGAGCTCTCCATCCACTTCGGCTCACTCCCATGCTCACCAGACTTCCACCCGAGGGGGTTCCAGCTTGGGACATCCTGCTGCCCTTCTCCCCATTCCTGGTAGGTGTGGATGCCATCCCCCTGGAAACAGGTGACACCTGTGTTAGGCTGAGAAACCAGCCCACTTTCCCCAAACCCATCCCACCACCATTCTTCAAGGCCCAGATTTAAGTAAGGCCTTTAGATGAACCATCCTGCTGTCCGGTTCTCTCCCTGAAAAAACAAATCTTTGCCTTAAATCTCCCTGGGGGAGGGAGTGGGGTGGCCCAGGAGCACTCTCCTTCCTCCCACCCGAGGCCCTTCCCAAGACAAGGCGCCAGCCGGCTTCCTGCTCCCCACCTGGCAGATGAGTTGAAATCCTGGGCAGGAGGGAAAAACAGGGAGGGCTAAGAAGCCGCTGTTTAGGTCTCAGGGGACGGGGAGTAGGAGCTGGGGAGGAAGACTGGAAAGAGGGGGACCCGGGGCGGTGAAGCTACCCGTTGTTATAAAAACCTTGCTGTCTGTGGACGTTCTGCAGCCCCGTTGCCAGGATATTAGGGATTCTAGAACCTCTAGAACCAAAGGCGGGGGCCGGATGGGGGGGGCATTTTCCCAGCACGTCGCATTCGCTCCTCTGGTCTCCGTTCCACCTCCTTTCGGATCCCTCCTTGGGGATGGTGACCCCAGCGCCAGAAGTCTGAGAAACCGAATCCTCCTACCACTAGGGGCGCGCAAGAAGCAACCCCGCCCTCGGCCGCCCTCCAGCCTCTCTAGCCGCTCTCTCGCGGCCTGGAGCCGGCGAGAGCAAATGAGGCCGGAGAGAGGGGACGGGGCAGGAAAAAAAAAACTGTGGGCTGTACTAAATAACCTTGCCTCTCGGGGACGCGTAGACCCAGGTGGCGGGGGGCGGAATGTTTTCCCCTTGTCCTGTCTCCAGGAAGCTATACCCTCCGGAGAAAGGAAAGGAGAATCAGTCATCGAGACCCCCTTCTCTTTTGACCTCTCCTTCTGGGTGCCCCCGCCCCCTCCTCGGCGCCGAGGCTTCTCTGCCCCTCTCCTCCCTCTGCGCTTTGGTACGCGCCGATGGAAAGGGGCGGAGGGAGGAAAAGGAAGCGGGCAGGTCTTAAAGGGACCGCAGCCATTCTTAAGCTTTTTTTTTTTTTTTTTTTTTTTTTCCTCCAGTTTTGCACGCCCGGGTGCGGCTGGGGCGACAGGGGTGGCCGCTGGAGGCGGGAAGGGCTGCCCCCAGGGAGGGCGGGCTGTGCGCGCCCCTACGCCCGACGCACCTCGCGGCCGGCCCATGCTCCGGCGGGCTGCGAGCTCTAACACCTGGGGCCGGGCGCGGACGGCGGGGGCCTGCGCGCTGTGGGCGCGGCCGATCCGCCGAGCCGGAGGGTGAGGCTGCGCGGCGGGGCTGGGACTCGGTTGGCACCTCCAGATCGGGCCCGGGGCGGCAAGGGGGGCCGCCGCGATGCCAGGTGAAAATATCTTCCTGTTTGTGCCTAACCTCATCGGTGAGTGCTGCCCGGGGCTCCCGGCCGAGCGGGAGGGCGAGGGAGGGGGCTTGGGCAGGGTCCCTGATCCCACTCTGTCTGCCCCCGTCCATCCCAAGGTTATGCCCGGATTGTCTTCGCCATCGTTTCTTTCTACTTCATGCCCTGCTGCCCCCTCACGGCCTCTTCCTTCTACTTGCTCAGCGGACTTCTGGACGCTTTCGATGGACACGCTGCTCGAGCCCTTAATCAAGGTGACAGACACCTCCTCCCAGCCAGCCTTGAGGCCCAGCCACCCTCTGTCCCCTTTTCCTGACTCCTCAGGACCTGGGGGCGGGCGGGAACTCGGGAACCTGAGGGCCCCGCCCTTCCCATTTCTGTAGAAAGCAGAACAGAATGGCCTACTTTCTTAGCAGAAGGGATTTAAGCTTGCTGTTGAGAAGAACTTACTGACAGGGTGTGGGGTAGCAAGACTGGACATGGCAGTGCTGGAGGTCTCCCTGAAGAAAAACCCGTTCAACAGGTGTTTCCGGGGGGGGGCTACTGTGTGCCAGGCACAAGGATTAGGGGTTCCAGAAGCCATGATTAGAGGGAGAATGGAGAGGGAAGAAGGATGGTTTCTGAAGGGTCAATTAATTTTTTAATCTGTTCTCCAAACCCGCCTGGCAAGACCTCCCCCAAAACTTGAAGTCTGCTCGTCTGGAGCCCTGGACCCTTGGTTCTGGGATTGATGAGCCGCAGAGCTAGCTTTCTCATGCCCCGCTCCGGCCCCCATGCCTCCTCATTTCCTCTCACAGTGACCCCTGCCCGTTGACCTCACACCCAACAGATAGCAACAGCCTATTTTCCTCCCCAGGCAGTGGACAGTGGACATTTTCCATCTTCTTTTAGATTCTGCATCAGAATGACACGCCAAATAGGGTTCCTGTCACAGACCCACTGCCCCCGATGGCCCCTTCCCACCTAACCGCCCCCGTTTTTCAGGGACCCGGTTTGGGGCCATGCTGGACATGCTGACGGACCGCTGCTCCACCATGTGTCTGCTGGTCAACCTGGCCCTGCTGTACCCACGGGCCACCCTTCTCTTCCAGCTCAGCATGAGCCTGGATGTGGCCAGCCACTGGCTGCACCTCCACAGGTCTGCAGTTCTGGGGGTGCTGGCCGGCTGAAGACACTACAGTGGGGAGGGGTGAAGCTATGTGGAGGGTGTCTGGAAAGCCTTCAGGCTTCCTGGGAGGTCTCCCTCTTAGCCCAGCTTTGTTGAAGGACCCTGGGCAAAGCCTCTATCAGGTCTGGTCCTATTCGCAGGTAGATTAAGCAATCCCTAAAAGTCCTGATTGGGTAGTCCGAGAATTCCAAATAGATAACGGCTGGGGGCTTTGGAATGTCGTATTTGAATCCTGACTCTGCTAGGTAATTACCAGCTAGGTAGTTGTGTGGCTTTGGGCAAGACCTCAGTTCTTAGCTGAGCCCCATCTCGTGCCCCGTCTCCTCTGCTCAATAGAGGCAATCCCAGCACCTACCTAGGAGGATTCAATGGACGTTAGTGGTAAGGAGTGCTCATGGATTCTCCCTGCTTTCTCCCCAAGTTCTGTGGTCCGAGGCAGTGAAAGTCACAAGATGATTGACCTGTCTGGAAATCCGGTGCTTCGCATCTACTACACCTCCAGAGTGAGCATTTCCCGCCCCTCCCCCTCTTATTCCCTCACCTTATGCCAAGCCCTGGGCTGAGCCCTGATCCTAGGTTAGGAGAAGGCATGAGCACAAGGAGGGACACGCCAACCCAGGGGAGACTCCGGGGGAGAGAGGCCTGGAAGCTGAGGCATGAAGGAGGGTAGGATTGGTGGGGAGGGTCCGTGTGCCTTACGGAGGGCAGCAGAAGGGAGGGAGGGAGAGAGAAGCCAGATTGGCCTGCGGGGCCAGTTCTCAACGAGCCTTAGGCCATAAAGGAGAAAGTCTTAGGCCACGTGGGCTTTATTCTGGGAGCACAGATAGTGTCTGGAAGGACTTTTAAAGAGAGAAGTAATATGCTGACATTTCTCTTTCACCCTCGCCTCACCCCTGCACTCCTGTATCCCGGTACCTTCCTGCTACCCATCCGCAGAGGGTTCTGGCCCCTGTCCTTTAGCTGGGGGGAGGGGCGGCACTGCTTAAGCAACCCTTTTGCTCTTTGTGCAGCCTGCCCTGTTTACCCTGTGTGCTGGAAATGAGCTCTTCTACTGCCTTCTCTACCTGTTCCATTTCTCCGAGGGACCTTTAGGTAGGAGGCGAGGGGCTGGGCGGGAGGGTGGGAGGGCCCCCTGGCCTGCCCGCAGTGATGGTGGCCTGGAGGCTGCAGACTCCTGGGCCTCCTCTCCCTCACCTGCATCCCATTTTCTCTGTATCGTCCGTGCTCCCTTCCACAGTTGGCTCTGTGGGTCTTTTCCGAGTGGGCCTCTGGATCACTGCCCCTGTCGCGGCGCTCAAGTCTCTCATCAGTGTCGTCCACCTGGTCACAGCCGCCCGCAACATGGCTGCCCTGGATGCGGCAGACCGAGCCAGGAAGAAGTGACCCCGGAATCTCCAGCCCCTGGCCACCCACCTGCCCTGGGGAGTCTCGCTGGGTCGCATGGCTCCCCTCTCCCTCCTGCGAGGGCCCAGGCTCCCATCTTCCTAATGTGTTGTCCGGCCTGCTGGGAAGGGGGGTTGGCCTCTTGGGTGATGCCGTGTTCTCCAGAGTCCTGAGGACCAGTCCCACCCCTGGGATTCCCAAGGACCTGGACTTCAAATCAGGAAGGATCCTCAAGAGGCCCCGGCCATACGGGCAGTGCTCCTGGGACACCAAGAGGCCTGAGGACCTGGCATTGTCGCACCTGCTGGCTCAGCCCACGGATCTGGCTTGGCCTGGGACTTTAGGGACACTTGAGTGAGGGAGATGGGGTGGGGGCCGGGTTTCTCAAAAGGCGGGGAGTCAGAGCTGTGCCCCTGGCCCCAGGAAGCCTGGGGTACCCCGGCCAGGAGAGAAGGGAGCGTGTCGATCCTTTCCCATCCCATTCTCCTGTGTCCAGTCCTGGCTCTGAAAACCTCCATAATAGGGGGTGTGGTGAGGGGGGCGGAGGCGGCTTCACTCTCCAGGACTTGGTTTCCTTTGAGATACTCTTGGACCAGGGCCTGGTTGAGGGGAGCTGGGGGGAAAAGGAAGATCCAGCTGGACGCTTTTCTCCTAGTTGTTTCCTAACCGGCTCTGCCCTGTCATTCCACCGTGACCTCGGAGAGGGGGCCTCCCTGCCACCCAAGCTCATGCCCTCTCTTTGCCCACCTTCTTTACAACATTGTCACTGGCTGTCTCCATTTTTTTGTACACCTCACATTTTCTACCCTCACCAGAATGTAAACTCCCTGAGGGCACAGACTTTTCTTGTTCCTTCTCTATCCCCACGATGAAGATGAACCTTAACCTGGCATATCATAGCCACTTAATAAAATTCACAAACAGATGAGTTGGTTTCTCAGTGTGGTCCTTAGATCACCTGTGGACTATTATCTTTTTAAAGATTTTATTTGTCAGAACGAGAGAGCACAAGCAGGGGGAGTGGCAGGCAGAGGGAGGAGCAGACTCCCCGCTGAGCAAGGACCTCGATGCAGGACTCGACCCCAGGACCCTGGGATCATGACCCAAGCTGAAAGCATATGCTTAACCGACTGAGCCACCCAGGCGCCCCGCCTGTGGATTATTTCTTAAAAATTCAGCTGTTTGGACCCTGTGCCAGACCTTTTAGAGCTGGCATCCCTAGGGATGGGCCCAGTTGCTATTTTAATAAACAACAGGTGATTGATTCTTCCCCATAATGTTGAGAATCGCTGTTCTGTCTTAAGCAGTTTGGGGGCACTTACTGTGTCATAGACCTTGTTCTGGGCATCTGTCCCTAACAGCTACCCCTGCCATCTGAGCTTTCTCTGCTGTCTGGCACCAGCTTGCTTTTTAAGACTATATTCAGCCTCCCATATGCCAGATCCTGTGCTGGGGGTTCTTTGCAGATGTTACTCATTTCGTCCTTATAATAGCTTAGCCAAGAGGCCCTTGTGTCCCAGCGAGCTGAAATGTAGCAGCTGGGTATTGAGCCTCAGCTCCTGTGCTAGGCCCAGGGGATTGGGTCAGTCCTCTTGGAGGTCACAGGCCAGCCATGAGGGAGATGATAATGCAGTTCGACCGAGCTCGTGGCGGGGATGGGAGAAAAAAGTGCTGGAGCACTTGGGTGTGGCTGAAGCAGGTGGGTGCCTAGAAAGCTGCTAGGGATTGGGGTGGGAAGGGTTAATGTGCAAGCGAGGATGATTCCCAGCGAGGAGAATGGAGG